ATGATCAATAAAACACCAAACTGTAATTTAGTCTACATTTAAATTCAATGTAATATATTTTCTCTTGTGATCAGGGTTGGCAGGTTTTTGACATGTGACAGTTTTTGACAGTTTAAACCATGGTTTAAACCGTCACGTCAANTTGATATCATTAAATAGATAATATTCATGATTAAAATTAAATGCTTTTATCAAATTTATTATATTGTCGAATTCATTATTTAAAATAGTAAAATATAATAATCCACCTTAGATAGAATAACATTCTTTCATTAATCCAAAAATGAAGAGATAAAAAAAAAAAACGAACTACTGATGTAAAAATTTTAAAATATTTAAAGGTAAAAAGGCTTCAAGCTAATTACTATAAATGAGACTTACTATAATATTTAGCAGTTATACTTATTCAATAAACCGATTTTTAAAAAATCTATTTTAAGTGATTTTTTAAAAAACATTTTCCAATTCTAAGACATTTTCAAAAATATACCAAATGAAGATTTTTAAATAGCCAGGAAGAAGCTGGCAAATCGAAGAGCTGGCAGCTATGATAATACATTTCACCAAGGCAGCATTAAAAGATATACATTGTTTTAAGACAATCCTTTCTTCCTCCCTAGTAATCAGAAGTTGACAACATCTAGGAATTTTTCTGGGTAAATAAGTAACTTTCCATTAATAAAGAGCAATGTGGTTATTATCAAAGATTAACATTATAAAAAATAAAATGCTGATATAATGAAATATGATTTTGCACACTAAAATATTTAAATAACTTGTGATTCCTCACACAAAATACAGGTACGAAGTTATAATGGCAAATTGTCATATTCATGATGAGGTAAATTACACAAAACATGTTTTGTTTCAAAATAATATGATTAAAAAGTACATTAACAATGTATACTAAAACATTTTACCAAACCTGAGTTTTAGTGTTATAATAAAATTGTGCTGTTTCGAATGCTGTAAACAGGATTGCAAACAGCATTTTTGTACACATAAAAAAAGAACTAATTCCAAATCTTATTTCAGGATCGGCATACATTCAGTCTCATTAAAACTCAAATGCCACTGGTTGTGGATCGTTTTTAACATTCAGATTCAAAAAGCTGGAGAAAAAAAACTAGTTTTTCATGATTATGAGAATGTTAAAAGCTCATTTCCATTAACACTTCACCTAGTATTTAAAAATATTTAACTTGATGACATTTTAAAATTACTATCTATTTAAATCTAAACCAATCATTGAAAATTAAAATTAGTTCAAAACTATAAAATTGCAAGCAAAATACATTAAACTAATCTAATTTTTTGATTTGAAAACAAAAACGCAAAAGTAAAAAATAAAATTATTAAAAAAAAAAACTCATGTGTTTCACACATGAAAAAAACTTTTTTTTTCATAGAAACAATTTCATATAAAATGTTTTCTTTTTCAAATGAGCTTTTAAAATACTCATTAAAAACTTTTACTTAAACATTCAGTATTACCCTCATTATTATTGCAATTCACCATGGCTCATTAAAATATTATATACAAATAGCCCTTAAAAACTTTATATAATGCACTGCATAATCCTTGAAAATTCTTTTCCTTCTTTCAAGGGACTATAAACTGATACACTGACTACTTTAGGGGAATCTATCACATTGACAAAATCTAAATGCGTTTCACATACAAACACTAACACATTACTAATAAGTTTGTTGGCCAGGCCATATACATTGAAGTCACGAAATTATCTTGCTTGGCAAGATTCGCGTCGAACAGTCTTTTAAACATTTCGTTCAATATCTAAATGTCAGCAACAAAAGAGTGTGGCAGAATAATATTTACACTATACAACATAAAGTCTACAACTAAAACTAAAGTGTTCATTGCAGGTACACAACTTTTCTACACTTGGACCAAATAAAAACCCATCAAAAATAAATGGGAACAAAAGGCTGATAACTAAATGACTTTCATAATAAATGGTAATACGAACACACGTTTTAAAAAAAAAAAGTATCAACAGAACTATAATTATTGCCCACAAGAATTTATCACCTAAAGAGAAAATCCAACAAATATTTTGATCATCGAAAAAGGTATAAATACCAGTATAAAAAAAAATAAAACGCTCAACGAACAGAAGAAAAACTGTAGATAGTTGCTCTATTGATTGTAAATAATATTACATAATACTTTTATCTTTAAAATAAAATTAAACATGTTCCATGTCAACTGATTCTACTTTAAACTTTATTTTTGTATTTTCTAGAGATGTAAATTAATGAACAATATAATAGTAAAACTGCGATGCAGAAAAAAAGTTACATCTTTACCTTAATGAACTAGCTCTATTTTGATTTAAAATTGTTATGTAATTAGAAAGTATGGCTTAGACATAAATTCATTTAAATATATTCAGTTAAAAAAAATATATTAATCACATAAGTAAAATATCTACTTAAAATTTTTTAGATTAAAAATTATAAAACTACTCAGATGTGGTTCAATCATAGCTCCACAGAAAAAGTAGAGCTACAATTCGGCTCTTTGGGTTCAAAATTAGAAACTGTAGTACCTAACGAAGAAATTATCGCCAGACTAACTTCTGTTTGTGCACACACCTAAATATATCTAGTTCAAGTTAAATTAATTACAAAAGTAAAATATCTCATTCTGCATTAATAATATATCATACAAATTTTTTCTTTTATGATTCAAACTTTTCAAAACAATTTTGACATACCATGTTTGGGAGTTAAAGAGCCTAACTAAACTTCAATAAACATTCTAAAAATAACTAGATGAGGTATATAATGAATTGTAAACTATCAAACGAAGACAAAACATTAAATGCAAGCAGATAAAAGTATTGGATATAATTGGTATAAGAACTTAAGTTAAAATAATTTAAGTTGTCTTTTAATAAATTTTTCACTTTATTTAGAAATGAAGTTGATACATTCGTTTAAAAGTTACTTTAATATTACAGCTAATAAAGGCACTTTTAAAAGTTTTTTTTCTTCTTTTTTCAGTCATGGAAAAAGGGAGATTTTTTTTTAAAAATATCTTTCTATTTACTTTCGATATACTTCTATACTCATTTATTCTATTAACGACTATTTAATACAAATATTTTATATAACTAAAACTTATCTTGAAATTTATTTAAAATTTTGCAACAGAAGTATGTTAGACCAGCAAATTACAATATCTAATAACTTTGATTTCATGTGATGAAAACAATGAATATTACAGAATATATATATATATAATGCAGTGTTTTCATCTCAGAAAAAAAATGGGTGAGAATTTCTCACCCTTTCTCAAAAACAGGGTGAGATTTCAAAAAGTTAAGTGAGATTTCAAAAATTAAAAAAAAAAACACGTAAAGAGACTTGAAAAAAAATAAAATTTCTTTAATTATGATGCATTTTTAACATCTTCTAATTTTTAAAGCATTGAATATTTTTGCTGCATCATCCTATGGAAAATGTTCTACATCTACTTTTTCATCAGCTATTCTCATTAGGTTGCTCAAATGCGTATTTGTTTCGTTTTGATCGCTTCTACCCACATTTGTTTCATTTTCATTTGTCCGTTTCGGAGTAGAAGATATTGGCTTTACAAGGTATTTGTCCATCTTACATTAACGAGCAAAAACTTTTAACGTCTTACATGAAGAAACCTTACCTACGGTAAACACGTGGTTGCAGAGAAATGCGTTCTGAAAGAGGTTCCATGGTTCTGAAGGATGGTGTTCTGTTGTTCTTAAAGGTTCTGAACAATACTGGTAAATAGGGAAGCTAGATAATGGGGCAGATGTTGAAAATAATAAAAGATCCAGGAAGAAAAGTGAAACGGATTTTATTCTAAATGGCGCAAATGAGAAATTTTTTTCAAAATGCGAGAAATTCGCGAATTTTGAAATTGGTTTATAGAATGCGCGAATTTCTCGCGGTAATCATTTTTTAATGCGAGAATATAAAAAAATATGCGAGATTCTCGCGTTCTCGCGCTGTAGTGAAAACACTGTAATGGCACTATAACTTAAAAAATCTTCTGATTTCTTTAGGTTGTAGAATTTCTATGCATAATTTCTTTAACTTTAGTACATAGAACTCTTACAATTTTTGATTATAAGAGTTCTACATATGACCAATTTTGCTTAAAAAACTAGCAGGAATTATACTTATGCTGCATTCATATGTTTTATTAATATGCATATAAAGAAGATGCTTGGGCTTATAGAAGTTTTATTCTGACATGCATTTTATCGACCAACTTATCCAGTAGGGCCTGTAAAAGTTTAAAATTACACCTGATTAATCAATGTCAATTAATTGTTAATACCATTTGTATGTATTGTATTTCAAGCATATTCCATTGTTGAAAACAAATTATATAACTGTGTATACATAAAGAATAAATATTGTGGCCGTTATTTGTATATAACTAGTTTAAAATTAATACAAATGGTTAAGCATGATTAAATTAAATCATTTGACATGGAATCAATTTTTGAAGGAAAAAAATAATGATAAATAAAATCATAATTGACTACAATTGATCATCTATATAAATGCATAGTGACAAATCCTCTTACGGCAGCCTCACAACTTTCTCTCAGTTAAACTAAAGTAGAAATAAAAATTTCTTTTGACAGTCATAAACAATTTGTATACATAAAAACTCAAAGAACCTGAGAAAATAAATCAACAAAACATATATATAAATCTAAAAACTTAAAAAATTTATATAAAGAATTTTTTTTTCTTTTTTTAAAGCTATCTACCACACTCTTAAGCTCACGTTCTAATCAGTGGTAGTTGACAACTATGAATGGTCCCAGATGCAAGACCGCTTGAAAAAGACAAATAATTTGCAGATAAAAATATATAAAACCTCCTTCCTAATTTTTGAATTTCTGAACACATTTCAAAAACTCACGATATTTAATTTCTTTGTAAGATAAAAACTAATTTATATTAAGCTTTACATTCAATAAATAGGCAAATTGGAACTATGTAGTATTTTTAGTTGAAAGAAAAATAAAGGCTTAATTGGCTTATTAGTATGCCGATCATCGTTCTCGTTTCCATTCTCTGCTATGTGTAATTTCTCATACTTGTTATCATACTTCCTGTTTGATGTTAGTAGGCTTTTCCTCTTCATGTATTTCAACAGAAAGAGCATCACCATTGCTGTATTCAGCATTAGAGTCACGAGAACTGTCGCTATCCATAGCCTCACTACTGAGATCTAAATGAGCATTTGGGTGAAAGGCAGGTTGGTGGGAACCGGCAAAATTGGACAAACCTCCCATATTACCGGATGTGGGTGATTGATGCCAACCCAAAGCAGCCATTGCACTCATTCCTAAGGATGGCTGACTCAATGGTGACATGCCAACTGAAACTGCTGCCATAGCTGCTGCTAGAAAGAATAGTAAGAATTTAGATCATCAAAAAAAAAAAAGGATTAAATACACAAAATTAATCAATAACATAAAACTTAACTAAAATAGATACGGCAGCAGAGAGCAAAAATTGCAAATAGAGATGAGAAACGCTAGTAAAAAATTTATTGAGCATTTACGAAGTAAATGAAGCAAATGAAACAAAATTAAGAATATTCAACTCAAATGTTAAATCAGTTATTTTACACAGATCGGTACCTGGAGCAACCTGAAAACAAATATAATTAAGTTACAGGATTTTATCAACCAGAAGAACCTGAAGAATTCTTAACATAAAATGGCTTCGCAATATGTATAACAATGAATTATTCAAAAATCAATAAGCAAAAACCGATAGAAATAGAAATTAGAGAATGCAAATGGCAATGGATAGGTGACACTATCAGAAAATGGGGAAAAAGTAAAAAATAGGCTGAATTGCAAGGTAAACAAAAGAGGGGTAGATGTAAAATGACATAGCGCAGAATAATTTTAAACATATAAAGATGAAAAACGAAACATAGAGAGAAAATAAAGTGATTTTATGTGAGATGTAGAGTCATGAAAAGGGACCAATACTCCCTAAGAAGTGAAGAGATATAAAAGAAGAGAAAGCCCAGATGGCTCGACCCAGAAATACCCTCGAAAATGTTAATAATCAGAAACTCGTCAATTTAGTTGTCTTAATTTTGATTATTCTTATGAAATTACTAGACAAATCTGATTTTTTTTTATTCCAGTCATCATACATTTTATTTTTAAAAAATGATGCAGTGCATAAAAAAATATAATCTAAAAAGTGAGATTTAAATTTCACCTTTTACATTTATTATATTTCTTATATAAAATAAATATTTGAAAAAATACAAAGTTCCTTTAATTACCTGAGGTTTAATAAAGGAAAGAAAGAAAAAAACAATGGCTCTGCAGAAAAGTACAGCTTGAAACCTACGAAAATCTTTATAAGCATAAACAGTAACTTACCAAAATGATAGTTCAAGCTGTTATAAAATTAATTTGTACTTAACAATTAAGTTTCATTAAAAATTGCACAACATATAGTAAAAATTTAATATTTAATTTAATATTCAAACAAATAAGATTTTTGTTACAGGTAAATGATGACAACAGATTAAGCTAGATGATTAATTCACAAAAATATATTAAAATAACTATCGGATGATTTCTTGAAAGAAGATTTGACCAAAAATACCTAAATTTAATCAAAAGGTGAGCATACTTATGCTTTTATCTAATAACTATAAAAATTCATTTCTTTTTAATATCGTCATGAAAGATAAATGTGAGTGTGGATATTAATAATAATTGCTGCTTAATAACTTTAATAATCGGATTAATCAAGCAGAGAGGGAATAGCAACTTTGTAGCATGTAAATTTGGTTGTTGGCACAAATTTGGGCAAGTAATTTTTATATTTTGAGCAGTATATTGCTTTTAAAATAAAATTTTTGAGCATAGAAACTTAAATTAACACAGCTAAAAAAAATTTATTACTAAATAAAAAGACTGTATTAGAAATGAAACAGAGAACTACTTGCAAATGTATAATAATAATTACAAAAATTTACTCAATGGATTTCCCGACAAATGAAAGAAAACCTTAAAAAAATGCCTTAATCTTTTTAGATAAAAAAATATTTTTAACAATTAGATAAAAAATACATTTTAAGAAATATGCCAATAACATTTGAAAAAATAAAATTACAGTGAATTAAATGTACAGTACAGAACCCGTTATCCGGAAATCAGAAAACCGGAAAACCAAAAAACCGGAACGAAATTCGATAAATTTTCCCGAAATTTAAAAAAAAAAAAATTTTTTTTCCTCATAAGATTTTAGGATTTTTCTTTCTTTTTTGAACGATGTTTACCTTAAAATCCTTTTGGAAATAATCATTAGTGTATTACTTTATCGTTTTTCCTTCTTTTTAAGATTATTCCCCCCAAAATTTTTTTCTTAGTTGGGTTTAACAATAAAAAAAACGGCTTTTTGAAGCGATTCAGAAAACCGGAAAAATCAGTTATCCGGAATAGCGATGGTCCCGATCGTTCCGGATAATCGGTTCCCTACTGTATTTGTGTAAATAAAATAAATGTATTTATGTATATGTAAATAAAATTACAGTGAATTAAATTTGATTTATAGTGAATTAAATGTAACATTTAGAAGGGAAAAAATACCATGCTGTTGCCTGAGTTGCTTCTTCGCTTCTTTTCTTCTGTTATTGAACCAATTATTCACTACAGGTAATGTAACTCTTTCCCTTTCCGCCAAAGGCCGGTCTGAAATACGAACTGAGATCCATTAAATTTTAGATGGTTTCGTTAACCCAACATACATAAAATTTTGACATTTCGTAATATATTATGAAATTTAAAAATAAATAGAAAAATATTAAATAAGAAAGAGCATTAACATTTTCCGCACTGAAAAATCAAAACGTATTTTAATTAACATTTAAATTTCAAAACACTTGATATAAAATATAAATGATACACAGTAAATAAAATAAAAATTAAATATTTGATCTTTAAACAGCCAGTTTAAGCTTTCAACAACTATTTAAACGTTAGACATCATTGCTGTGTCTTTAATGAAATGAGAGAAATGTGAACAAGGCAAGTAAAATGGGTGGTGTTTCTTAACCACTTAATACTGCAAGTTCTTGACTACTTATACTTCCAGGCTACCGGGTTTGGTGTGCTTTGAAGCCATTCACAGGGCACATCGCGAAATATTTCAACAAAAAATAAGCACCTTTTAAGTACTATTGAAGCACTTAAAAAATATTTTAAGCACTTTATACATTTAACAAAATGCAAAATAACGTTACATGATCATGATTTCGCATGATCATGATAAAATAACTAGTTTTTGACAAAGAACTCTTTTCTTGTTTATATTAGTCGCCAGTTAAAGATAGACAGATTTTTCGGTTCGATTTCAGAGGGCGGATAATGAAGTCTAAAATTGAGAATATCGATCAAAAAGAAACAGAGTTGCACACGAGAGTGCTACAATCTCACGGAACTCATCCCAGTAGACGCACGCGCAGGCTCACAAGTATTTCTGTGAAATTATTGGCGCTTTCATATACTATGGACCGACGGTAGGCCAAAATGGACTGTGGTTGAATGAATTGTGAAAACATTGAATAGTACACAGTGAAAAGCACGCTTTTGCATAATACGTGGCGAAAATCGACATGGTAAAGAAAACAAATCTCCTTTTCGAAAAGGGAAAATTAAGATCTTTTTAAAAACACCCAATGAAAAAAGCACCTTTAAGGGCTTATAAAAACGAAAATAAGCACCTTTAAGCACTTTTTAAAAACGCTACGCAATTTGCATTCAGCTCACAAAGTTTTGAGACTCTCTTGAGTAGTATTTCTTGTATACGTGTATTAGTTACCTGATTTATTATTTTCGTTTAAAAGAACAATCATTATTAGAATCGTCATTTGAAGATCTGTCATTTCAAGACGTAAGATAGTCAGATTACGGATTAAAGACAGTCATTTTAAAAAAAATAAAAATCGTTATAAAACACTTTTTAACTTGTTAACAATATACCAACTTTGAAATTTAAACCTGAATGATGATTTGCAAAATGAACTCAATCTCGCTGCTCGAACATGGTAACACTAACGTATGATGGTGCAAGGCTTACACGAAGAACAAACAAGTAAAAAGAGGCAAGATCAGAAATACCAAAAAAGCGAGTTCTTTCTAAATCTAGCAACCATGTCACCTTTTTTAACAGTACATCTCTAAATAACTAAAACAAATTGTCTTGTCAAACTCACCAGAATAACTAAATATCATTAATATCTTATGAAATAAAGCAGTTTTGATCTTGAAATTACATAATTTATGTCTTTATTAAAAACAAAATTATCTGTTTGAAAATATCACCTTGTGAAATAAGCTATGGTAAGCTGCTGTATAGTTTCCAATTGGATGTAGATAAAATAAAGATAAAATGCATTTAGCATCACTTGGCTATTACTCATGGCCAACTCATAATAGTCAAATTTTACCACTATCAAGTAATTTTAACAACTACATATCCTTTTCTGGAAGCCGTAAAACACTTATTTCCAAAGTGTCAGTATTAAAACTTCTTAGTATTGGAGCTGTTTTAATAATCACCATATATATATATCCTCTTGAGCCATCACG